GGATCTTCAATTGTTGTATCATCACTGTAAATATCCTCTTTGAAAGCCATGATAAAATAACGTTTAAGTTCTGAAATAAAGACTAAAAAGAGAAATTTTTTTGTTTTATCGGACCGATTTCCTAAAAATATATTATTTAAAAAACAAAAAATTTATAGAATTCATTTATAGTTTTATTATAATTTAATTGAATAACATAAATTTTAATAAAAGTGTTATTTAAAAAAGAAAGAATGACGAATAGAAGACAAATAAATATTTGAAGAAACTGTTTTTTTGACATTTGAAAATTGTTATGGACAAAACGACTCTCAATAAAAGAGAATTAGAAGTATGGCAAGAACAATTGTTTCAATTGAAAAGTACAATTGAAAAGAAAGAAATGGAGTTGGAACGAAGAGAGCAATTAATCAAAGAGCGAGAATCTTTTCTTACCAAACGAGAAGAAGAGTTGCACAGAAAAGAAAATGAACTTCAAGAAATTAACGAACTTCAAGACAACACTTTTCCAATGCACACCACTCTTACTGAAGATATTAACAATAAACAAAATACTACACCACCTTTTAAAACCAATACTATTCCACCACAAATTAATATCATTGAACATCAAGATGAATCTTCACAGGTTGTGCCTCCACTCATTGATATGTCATTCTTTAGTGCTGGTCTAAAACCTCAAAGATATCAAAATAATATTCAACAAAATGATATGATGTTTACTTCTACTCCTATTAACAGAGATGCTCAACAAACTCATAGTAACCCTTATATGCCTCAACAATTTTATCAACCTCATTCTCTTCAATACCAACAACAATACCAACAAAATAATTCCCAATTTGATGTATATAATTCTTTTAATCAACAACTAAACGTTTCTTCTCCTCAACAACAAATGATGACTCAATCTAATCAAATAGTCCCTCCTCAAACATTTGTTCAACCAATAGTTCCATCAAAACAAACAATAGCTAAACAATCAATTCAATTCCCACAACAACAAGAAAACAAACAAAGTGATTTTGAAATTCAAAGAAATATTCCAATTCCAGATAATGTTAAAATAAATGAATTTGAATTTGAAGAAATGACACTACCACTTTCAACAAGTCAGTACAATGAATTAAGTGAACAAGAAATACAACAGATTGAACAAGAAATGGAAAAAGAAAAAAAAGATAATGAATTACTTAAACAAGAGCTTCAACAAGAAGTTCTTCAATCAACACCTATAATGTCAAAAGAGAATTGTTTGAGTG